TCGAGAGTCAGGTTCATGATGCAAGACGCCTTGGAGCTCAGGATGGTCTGTTTTTGTTTGTTTGGTTGTCCTATAAATATGATCATTAAGTTTTCCACAGCCCACTTGAAATCCTTGAAGAAGCTCAAAGACACCAAAAATGTTTGTCGTGAGATGAACTTGAAAGAAGGACAATAATCCACATAAAAACATGCATTTGAACAAAAACAGGAAATGCTGAGGTGTTCGTGTAGAAGCTAACCTGATTTCCTGTAGATCAGTTGGATCCATTTCCTGCCTGTAGGAAGGTTATGTGAGGACACCCGGCGGATCCCTAACACGTGGGCGTCTCTGGTGAATAAAGATTCTGCAACTCAAGTTTCTCTCTTGTAGGATTCTACTACTTGCATTAATATCGGTATTTCTTTATTTCGATACCCTTTAAAGCTAGCTAGAAATTGTAGCGTGGATTACATCAATGACAAAAGTTACAAAAGAAATCTGTTACTCAAGCAAGTAACTGAATAGATACTTCAAACTGTCAGTTTAAAGTAGCATCCTCTACTTTTCGTCTTACAATATTTAATATTCTTGTGTTGCGTTGTTCGAGTTTGTTTATTTGTTGCTGTTTAAATAATTTTTTGCCTGTTTGTCAGGACCAGCTGCAGAAGACTATCACCAGCCGAGAGCAATCCCAGCATACACGCATCCTGGATCGACCGCTCAGCAACAGGTCTGTAGTTTGTAAGTCAATTGTGGTAATAAGCTACTTCATGTAAACCTGAAATGCATCAGGGATAGGGCTGTTAATGTCCAAGCAGATTCGGTGGGGCAAGTTGCGGCCATGCACAAAACGCATAAATGTATGCTCTGTTTTGTTGTCATGCACATTTTTGTCCACCTCACCCCACCGGCCGCAAAGCTGTGCACCCTGGGCGGGATGCCCTAGTCAGGGTTTTGCCCAGTACCATATAGAATAGAATAGAAAGGGGACTTTGTGTTGGCCGTCTGTATCCAACGTTCGCCCCACGAATCTGCCTCAGAATCGCAAGGCTTCAAGCCTTTCAAATCATATCACTCTGCACATTTCGGCCGATTTGTACGCCTCAGTATCCATGTCACAAGGATACAGGTCCTCACAGGTAAGTACTGACAAACCTTGAAGCACTCTGGCAGAAATCAGTATTCTGATGGTATTTATGCTTGAATTTTCCACTCCAGCCCCAGTACTACAGAAGTTCAGGTCCCACAGCGAACGGGAGAGTGCCGTACCAGACGGGGCCAAGATACAGCGCTCCCCAGACCGTCACGTCAGCCTCGCCCCCGTTCCAGCTGCAGCCACGTGCAGCCTACCCACAACCCCCCCTGTTCATCCCACAACAGGTAATGGTTCAAGTTTTAAATAATGGCGTTCCAGATGAAGCAACACAACAGAGTGCTAAGACAGAATGTATTTTTGACGGTCTACATGAGGGTATTTGCCCACTGCACGTTTTTAGCAAATGTCAGGTCATTTGGCCCAAAAAGGACGAAATTAAGTGACAGCAGGTGAAAAATTAGGGACGACATACAATACCTTTCATAGAAAAAGGGCTGCTCCTCGCGTATTTGGCTCCTTATATATTTATGTTGGTCTTCATGCAATAATGTCATTATCATCGTCATCGGCCTCCTTCCGTCTGAGTAGACGATGGGCTTGGCACTGGAGGGGTCTGGCACCGTCTCTGGTGGCTGAACAGGCCGATCCGCGAGTGGCAGACTCTGCCACATATTGAACAGGTGAATGTGGTGGTGTTGCTGGTTGGTCTGTTGGCTGGTCTCTGCCGACGCAGGTCTCTCAGTTGTTATTATAAAAGTAAGTAATACTGCCAATGACCTTTTAGTACTACATTCCCCCATCTTTATAACTTATTGTCACAGTATCGGCCGCAAGCGACCCCCTCTTTCCAGCCACTCCTGCAGGCCGTCATCCAGAGCGCCAGGGCGTACTTCCAGCCGGCGCCACAGGGTCCCGAATCGGGCGACACCAAGACCACGTACAGGACAGGGGAACAGCTACAAGGTGACATTGTCATTTTTTAATTATATGGTTGTTGCACAACCGGCTTGCAGTCCGACGATGAATTTTGAACACTCGATAGCAGTTCTGAAGCAGGATAATCCTTACCCAAGGAAACAGCTGAAACGTTCTCAGTTTTTCTTCGTAATGAGTAGCCTCCTCAGGCCCAGTCCATGTAGAGAGCAAACCCTATCCGATCTTAACTCCCGTTCCCCAGATTACCAGAGCTCCTTCCAGACGCGTACGACTCGCCATTTCGACAATTTGTTTCAGTTGCAATTGTTGCCGGTAACTCTTCCTGTGTTCTATCTATTGAACTTCTCGCTATTAAATTTTTCTTATACTGGTTACATTGTAACTATAGACAAAAATTTTGGCGTAATAAAATATGATTTTATCCAACTGAGGCAACTCCTAGGTACTGTTACAGTACTGTACTGACTATGGTGCAAGCTTATTTTGTTATGGATTACCTCATATATAATCAACCTTAGCTTAGTCTTTTCTTATCCTCTGCTTTCTTACTAGGAGCTTTCTGACTACCCGTTACCTAAGAGTCAAGCGCCGCTTCCAATAGATACAGTACAAATCGAACTTGAGAAGTTACTGAAGGAGAAGGCCGACAACGACAGGATTGTGGCTTGGATTGAGGTATGTTTCAGTGTTGAAAAAAAAATTCCAAGTCTGAAATTTAATAATCAATATTGTGTCCAGATTTTGTCAATAGAATTGCAGGAATGCTCGAATATTCATTTTTATTCTCGACAGAAAAACGTTGATGCAGCAAGATTGAAGGAACGAACGTTTATCCGTGCCTTGATGACAGCCGTGTGTAGAAGTGCAATCATAGGTGAGCACTTCTGAATCATGCATAGTTTTGTAACGCATTCACTGAGCCTTCAAGTTTGCTTCCTCGATATTCTGCAAAGCTTATTGAATACTAGCAACCGCGAAGACAAGTTTACGAGTATCAACTTGGCAAAACTTTATATCATTGTATTGCTAATATTTACAACCGTGAAAGGATGATCATGAAAGTTCATCTGAGTTGGTAAATTACATTATGAAAAACTTAAACTGTTCTCCAACTCAAAATTTCACTCACCAGAAATGTTGTATCAACAGCATTTGGGTCAGATAGCTGAGGAAGACTGAGTGATTCAGTCGAAAATTTCTGGTGAGTCAAATTTTGAGTTGGAGAACAGTTTAAGTTTTTCATAATGAAAGGATGATGATGATTATATTGCTATATTGCTTGTCGAATGTGGTAGGTAAAGGTACCGGTCAGAGGTCCGACACCCAGGCTGTCCAGAAGAGAGTTGTTCTGTTGCAGAAGTACCTGGACAACGACAGCACCAGAGAACTGCAGGCGCTCTTCGCACTACAGGCACTCATGGTGCAACTGGACCAGCCCCCAAGTAAGTACCACTAACGTAACCATACGCTATAGATGATCTACAAGCTGCTGTGGGGCATAAAAATGGAACAGGCGGTCAATACTAGTAGACTCCTCTTGCCCCACAGAATCCGCTTGGAGATTAACGTTGTAGTACTGTAGTAAAGCGTTGTAACGATGATGATTTATGAGTTAACAAACTTTGCTTTTCCAAACAGATCTGCTTAGGATGTTCTTTGACACACTTTACGACGAGGACGTTATATCAGAGGACGCGTTCTACGCGTGGGAATCGAACACGGACCCAGCGGAGCAAGAGGGGAAGAAAGTAGCGCTCAAATCCGTGTCTGTCTTCTTCACGTGGTTAAGAGAAGCAGAGGAGCAGGAGACGATATAGCTGAACTCATAAATACAGTATATCATACGTTATTTACGTGTATTTGTCATGTAGTGAATTTTCTCGTCTTTAACAGATAGTTTTTTTTATACTGAAAATCAGTGTTGTTTGATACTGAATGGAATTATTGCAACTTGTCCTATTGAACAATCGAGTTATTCAAGTAACTGATTTTTATGACATATATGGATCAGGCCTGATTACTATATTCTTCTGGGCATATGGTAATTCTTTTTAATAAGTTGATGTATAAACTAATTATTTTCTACACATAATGTCCTTGATTTCTCGAACCAACGTTGTTATAACAAGTCCGTGACTTGAGAATGCAGAAATGTAGACAGAAGTTAAACTGCCAACTTGAGTGTTTGTTTTGTGCATTATGATGGGTGCACTTTTGTTATGTGATGTATACATTATGTATATTGTTTGGGCAAGCCATATGCTTCGAAGATAGAAAACTGCATTGCTGGCAGGGCAGATAACCGTTGACATGAGCAATGGCAATGCGTAAAGATTGTGACTCCAAGATCTTCAATTTCATTGCAGAACATCAGCCAACTGAATCCTTATAGTTTAGTCTAAAAGTAAGGGCTGTCATATATGGACCTATATTTCGATCACTATTGGAGATCATCGTAAAGGACATTATCTCCGTATAATGTCCCCGTCATCACCAATCATAAGCAAAGCTTCTCATAGCCATGATGCCTTATGGCAATAGATATTTTTTAAAGCTTCTTTTAATACTACCGCGCATTATGTTGTACTTCATAGAATCTTAAAGAATATACATAAAAAAAACATATTACATAAAAAACACAGGTGCAATCTGTTGTGGTGGGTTCATTTACTACTCTGATTTTATACCGACATAAATTCATATCTTGTAATAAAATTTGCCGACCTGCTCCTCCCCAATCTTACAATGGAACAGTCTGAATCAGGGATGCCCCTTCATACGTCACAAAAGTTCAGAGGTCAAAGTTGAGGCGCGCTGGCGAAGAGCGTTCGAAACTGTGTCTTCCTGTTGCTATGCGTTCTTGTCACTACAACGTATCCTAGCCTTGTTAAACACGTCTTTTCCAACTCCAAGTCTTTGGGAAACATTGGAAAAGAAGTACTGGCCGTAGAAATTTTAATACAAATACATATTTTTACGCACACAAGTGGAGTCAAGACGGGAATTCGAACAGATCCAAAATGGCGGAAGCAGCATCATCAGAAGAAGGTAGAACATCACCCGATTATCGAAGCCTGCAGACGAACATTTTCGACTGCAGCATCTGTCTGCAGATGTTCACAAGACCCAAGGTGCTGCCTTGCGGGCACACGTTCTGTAAGAAATGCCTGGTGACTTACGTTAGAGGCGGCATGTTCTTCCATTGCCCCACTTGCAAGAGAAAAGTGTACCTAAACTCAGAGGGTGTGGAAAGTTTAACCGATAATATCTCCTTGGGAAACCTTCGGGAAGACTTCGCAAGTCTCGCAATTATGGAGAAAAGGTACAGGGAGGTTGGAAGTCCTGTGTTACAGACTGGTCAGTCAGTGTGTTCGAAGCATGGTGGCATGGAAGTTAAGTACTATTGCCCAAGCTGTGAGGAGGTGGTCTGTGGAGAGTGTATAGTAGATGAACACAACACACACGGGGTGACCAGGCTGTCCAAAGCGCTCGAAAAGCAAGCCGAACAAGCAGAACAACTCATGGACGAAGGAGAGAACTGGATCGAAAAAGTGCGGGGGAAGATCGCGGAAACAGAGGAAGCACAGAAGATGTTGAAAAAAGAGGAAGGCATACAAAATGATGCGGTGGAGAAAAGTGCTACCAGAATGAAAGAGTTACTAGCTCAAGCTGTGGACAAGCGTGCAACTGACTTAAAGAAAGAGTTGAGCACCATGTTTGCATCGAAGTGTGTCGCTCTTAGAGAGCAGAACACCGAACTAGAAACGTTGCTGGCAACCTTACTGAGTGCCGTGGAAGAAGTCCAGCGCTGTATCACTTTGGGAGAAACCATTCCACTGATACAGGGGAGGAAGGTCTTACAGAACGTGATCGAACCATTGTCAGGAAAGACTTGGTCGGCCGACGAACAAAACACAACCCCGGTTTTCACACCCAACCTTTTCAATCTGTCAGGAATTTCGAAGATGAGTACATTTTCACTTGGCACGGTCCAAAATGCAAGAAAGCCCAGTACTACATGTACTAGTCCTTCCGTATCACCCAGAACAGTCCATAGTGCCCCAAACCCTAGTACTAGTACTACTACTACTAGTACTAGTACTAGTACTAGTAGTAGTAGTAGTGCCAGGCCTGTCAATGTGCCTGGAACTCGAAGGTCCCTAAGGACTGTACAGGGCGACATTTGGCCCTCGGAAAGGCCCAGAGTTTTGTGGGAGTCTACTAGCAGGTTTCTGCGCCAGTCACCAGAGACTCTCTGCGCCATCAATGCGTTTATACACAACATGCAGAAAAGAAGGGACGAACAGGTGAGGATATGACATGTACACAAGATGTCTTATACTATAGTTATAGCTTTCTATGTGTAGCATACATACATACAAGTATACACGCACAAACGCATAACACATGTACTTACGCACATGAATACACTCACATACATACAATACCCTCACACACACATACATAGACACACATACACACTACACAAATACACACATGTACACACAGTCTCACACACACATATACACACAGACATATTGTACACATATTTACACACATACTAGCAGATACACAGTAGATACACTCACACACATACAGTAACACACACACACACATATATAACACCACCACCCTACATAGCTAGCTATGCCTGATGTTGCTTTGTAGGATGAATACCTACTAGTATAATGTCATATACCTTTTACAATATTATATTATATCAAATACTAGTACTTGAGTATGTCTGTTACAAATTGTTCTACTATTTTGTAAAACATCAAAGCTTTTGCATATGGAGTCTGTCACTATAGTCTACATCAATAATAGAGATATATATAAAATAGAGATTGATATTGCCAAAATCTGTAATATTTTTACTTCTTTTCACTGACAGAATGAACCTGACAGCACATTCCCCCAAACCTCTGCTGAAGAGACAAGTGAGCCAACCCCCGCTGGAGCAGAGTGTGATCCGACAGCTAGTGATGAGGATAGAGGTGTGCGGATCAACATAACGGTAGGAGTGATGTTTTAGTAACTGTTACTCAGGTTTTTTCTCCAGCATAAACTGTTGGGATCCTCTGTCCAGGTATACATAGCTAAGTATTAGCTTGTCACCATAAACAAGATAGCCTGAGTGTCAGCCTTTTTAGGTTTCGTCCACTTCCCATGATCCACTACCAGTCAGTAGCGGATGAAAGCTAAAAAGGCTGACACTCAGGCTATCTTGTGTATGGTAACAGGTGATGAGGATGGACATGTAGAGATAAAAATAATGGTAGGAGTGATATTTCTGTTTACCGAAGGAAAACATTGTTATTGCTCTGTTTCTAATCTTCTTCTTTCGTTCCAAACAGTAACCTCTAACCTGGTCAATGACCAGACTTTTAGACTCCATATATGTGAATGTGTTTGAGTAAGAATTAACAGAGCAGTTGATACCTTATGCATATACTATTCTTGTATCCTTTCTGTGTTAAAATCTTAAAGTAACATCCTTTTTTTACCATTGACTCAGCAACTACCAGACCCAACACAGACAGGAACGGCAGAATATCAGCCGCCACGAGTTCTCTATAGTTCACAGCAGGTAATGTAAACTCCAGCTATCAATGCATTGGTTTCATTATGTTCTATGTTTTGTAATTTGCAATTAACCTCCAGGCAAGAATTTGCAATTAACTTTTCAATTAAAAGTTCAAAATTCATTGTTTAAATATTAACCCAACCTTTTGTGTTGACTTCATGGCTCCTTTTCGTAGCATTTGGGGCCATAATAGGATGCCTAGACCTGTTTTTATTAATTTGTTTTGCCCTGTCGCTTCATATTTTTTCTGAAAAAATTTGAGAACCAACAGATTAAATTGGTGTGGCCTAAGGCTACACCGATTTAATTTTATGGATGACATCCGCGCGTGCATTGATTTTCGCCCGATCTCAAAAAAAAAAAAAAAAAAAGATCACGTATTCCGAGGCTCTGGCCTGGCTTTAGGCCTGGGTAGTGCATGGTGGTGATAACTCTGGTTGACGGCAGCCAGGCTACCGAAGCTCCAAGACTCAAGAACTCAGTACATACGTACAGCAGTGTCGATTCATATATTCCGCAAAAATCCAGCATGTGTCGGCCTGTCGTATACGTCGCTATGTAATGCGCCAAATTCACAATACCAGGTTTGTATTTGTGGTTTTGTAGTTTTGTAGCATTTTTATTTTTGGCCGGATTTTTATTTTTTTCGCCCGCGCGCACTAGTTTGGGGGTCTTCAGAGGATGTCATCCATAAAATTAAATCGGTGTGGCCTAATCAGAAACTGTCTGCACCCTTGCAGCCGCAAAGTCCCCGACGTCAGCTGCACCCTAAGAGTAAGAGGAGGGGTACCAAGGTCACGGACGCTGTTCCAACCACCATCACCGTACAGCTTCTCTCCCCTCCCTCCCTGCCAAACAACTCAGGAACCTCAGCTGAAACCAGCTCACAGGTTAGTTGGAGCTTACTTATGATTTTGTTTTGTCTTAAGAAGTCTTCTTTGCATTAAACCATTCAAGTCACAGACTTAGGAGACGTACCTTTTATGGGTCAACCAGACATTGGAAACAACCTAGCCTGGTTCCCAGACCTATTTTAGCTCCTGAGTCTATATCCTCTCCGCAAGTAGGATATAGACTCATGAGCTAAAATAGGTCTGGGAACCAGGCTAGAAACATCCTGCACCCACATCTCAAAAGAAAATTGACCAATCACTTATAAAAAAATTGTGCATGTAGCCAACTGTATTTTAGTGGTATCTTAAATCCAAAATCGAGAGAATTTACCAGCACAAGTTTTCATAAGTAACTTAATACTTACTTACTTACTTACTTACCCTTAACCCCATGCAGAAAATAGGCTGTTCACCCATGACCATATCCTCCATCCAGCTTTTTATAAGGTACATGTACAGAGCCCCAAATTATGTACCTGGTCCAAAAACCTGTATTATTTTTGTATTTTTAGCCCACCCTTGAAGTGAGTATAGTAGAGGACCCAACTGCCACAGCGAGTGAAGAAGAGTCTACCTCCCAAGGTGCAGAGCCATGTCAGAACTCACAAGTGTGAAAACTTTTCTACATTTGAGGGGCCGGGCCTGTTGGGACTGGACCGCTTTTTCCAGCAACCCTACTTGCTTCCTTACCTTTTGTTGGATGTTTCTCTTTGCAAAGTAACTTTACCAGTGGAATATATACATATACAACAAATGATGGATACTTCTACTAGTATGTGGACTATGCCTTAAAATCTGCCTTAATAAAGTACTGTGTTTGAGAGATCTGTAGTGTAGCACCCATCAGATATGTACTGTTTGCAAATTTGCATAATATACTGGGGGATGTAGCAGTGGAGATCTCTTTAGACATTTCTTCAGGGTGGCAGATACATATGACCTGACAGAATTTTGATTCTGTTATTAAAAGAAACAAAGAGAGAGAAAGTTAGTAGACATTAATAGTGAAAAAAAGATCCAAGCAAGAGTTCTATGTTGCATACATACAGTAACCAAAGTCATATTCAGGTTTTGCAAATTAAAAGTTATGTTCATGTAACATCATATTTCCTTCCATGTGGAATATAAATCACTATCTAGCCTAATGTTAATAACTTATGATAATTACCATGTTCATAATTGTTTGTCATGCTTCCAACAAACAAACAAACAAACAATTATATTTAAATAAATGCTGGTAAAAATAGCCTCAATCGCATGGATAATGATTAAAAACTGAAGGTGAACTATAGTTTCTAAAACATTCCTTCAAGTCCGAACACTGTGATGCCGACAAATAATCGGGCATTTCCGGTGTGCCGAAAAAAACCGACAGAACTTTTTCGGGTCGATGACAGCGCTCTCCCGGGGTCAATGACCGAGCACTCCTGAGGTTAATGACCTCCCATGCCTGCCTCTGTTGGTCAGCAAACGTAATAAAGTGAGACATGTGGGCAAACAATGTGAAAGCTAACTTAGCATTGCAACTGCACAAAGTCCATTGTCGTTTTTTAATACTTGGATGGCTAGATTTACAAATGGGTCTACACTAGCCTCCACCAGGCCTTTCTACGGGAATAGGGATCGTAGAATTCGGCAAAAAAAAGAATCAAATTGGCCAAGGGAGTCCGGCCGCGGGGAGGTAGTTTCTTTCCCTCCGAAGCATAGTCAAACCCCAAGGCGGCCAAACTCCCCCGGAAAATATTTTCCTATATGTAGCCAGCGTAGTTAGTCTGGTAGAGACTAGGTCTACACTATTCTTGCCGTTAATTGACTAATATTGGACGCTATTACTTAGTATATGTATATAGTGTTAAGATAAAGCAGCACTTAATATTGTCAGAACGCCATTTGGGTAGATCCATTGTATGGTTAGATCCATATCTATGGTTAGATATGGTTAAATCGAACCAAGAACAATTCTAAAAGGGTTGTCATAATGATGTTTAAAGGTACTAAAAGCATGACATATGCTTACTTAGTATATGTATATAGTGTTAAGATAAAGCAGCACATAATTTTGTCAGAACGACCTTTGAGTACGCCCATTGTATGGTTAGATCTGTTAGTCCATTACGTCAGTTTTCTCAGTCGATCAGCCAGTGGACTCTGACTCCCACTCAGACATCACGTAGGTTTCTCTTAACTTGCATCAGACATTCAGCATTCCGACCGAACCAAGAACAATTCTTAAAGGGTTGTCATAATGATGTTTAAAAGGTACTAAAAGCACGGCATAACTTTGTATGATAATCCCTGCAAGTTTAAAACAAGGATCAGTTAACGCTACTACAACGCTTGATATTTTTATCAAACCTTGATACTTTCCAGCTCTTGGCTTTTTAAGGAGGGGACATAATAGTAGGAAGAAAACGCCGTACCTCTTCCTTAATGGTTTCGCTGGAATCAATATACAATAGTAGTTGAAGGACGCGTATATTGATTATATTAGAGACGGTATTGTCCCAGTGTTCAGAACTAGTAGCCAGAAAAAAATGTCTGTGCGTGCCATGCTACGTTGGGCGACAGGCGCCGCGGCCGAGAGCGTTACCCACGCTGCCGGGTGGGGTAGCGCGTCGTGGCGGCGGGCCTTGCCCTGGAGTTGGCCCGCCGGGGTACCGGAGAGCGCGCGGTCAGTCTACCGGGACTCGGGTGCGACCACGGACGGGGAAGAGTCGGGCTCCGATGGGGAGGAAGAACCGTTGTGTTTTAGTCGTAGTGAAGCCGGCATATTACCCGAACCTTTCGCGGTGAGTTATGGAAGTCCCGTTAAAGCGTCCCCTTGTGTTAGTGGCGTGAACTGCAAACGAGGGGCGGCAACTTGGGACGCCGATTCCGTCCGAACTAGACGTCGGGACGGACGGAGAGTTTCGCAGGACGACAGAGATAGCTGTGTTAGACAGGTGAGAGATTGTGAAAGAACTATATTTGATTTTACAACTACAAATGGGCTATACAGATCATGGCCTGTATGCATTGCAAAAATGTTGTTTTTTCTGACCCGACAAGAAATCAGAGATTTCAAACGTCCGGGGAGGAGATAAAGTTCGCATTAAATTACATGATTGAATATGCATTATTGCTCGTACGATTGTATGATTGGAGACGAACTTGCCCCGTAATTATACTGTGGTTTATGCTTCATACCATCCTGGCAACCACATCCTAGAACCTAGGGCATCCCGGGTCAAACCCCTGTCAATCAATCGTAACCCGATCTCTGCCCACTCACTTTGGAACCCAAGCATACAAACATAGCATGAATCAACGCCACCCAAAACAATACTTACGTCCCGAAGTTTGATGAATCAGCGATTTACTTGTTGTACCCGCAGGTAGCCGTGTCGACCAGAGGAGACCCAGGCGGCCGCCAGCTTCTCATGAACTTCGAGTCAGAGTTTGGCGAGCTGTTTCATGAAACCAGGGTAAGGCCGATTTTTACATACATTTGCCGTACAAACAGAATGCAAGAGGATATTTAAGGCATTTTGTACTCGTAATTACACTACTGTAACTCATATACAAATTCAAATCTACTCTTTAACAGACACAGAGAGAGAGAAAGAGAGGCACACACACAAGCACAAGCACAGAGACACGCAAACACACATGAACACACACACACACACACACACACACACACACATACACACACAGATACACGTACACAAACACACAGACACACGCGCGCATACAACAGATACACTGTGACACACACACACACACACACACACTCACACACACACATATACACCAAAACAATACTTCTGTACCCTGTCTAATGACTCGAACGGACACATCTATTTTCCCCAGGCGCGCTGTTACACAACTCTGCAGACAAATCTGGGTCCGTTTCTAGCCGTGTGGTGGGGACTTCTCTTCGGGCTGGTGCATTTCTTCCACGTCAGTGTCGCCTACCCTGGCATGGCACTGCTCTACAGGGGGCTAGGGCAACCCGTGAAGACATGCTTCGGAGAATTTGTGAAGGTTTGTAACTTTGTCGTAATCAGTGATTCATTTTGATGCTCGAAGAGTCTGGCTCAAAATCAATATTTTCACACATTTCGCTGCTGTGTGATAATTAAGAACATATTCTAGGCACTATTTCGTTTCAAGACTTAACATGCACACCATAGTACGCACAGATTTTTTCTTTACCTAACTCGGTTTTCTTCTCTTTTTGCAGGCCAGTGCCTACGTCACCCATAGCC